CAAATTAGAAAAATGGATGTTTCTTTCTGGCATGACAACTCAAAATACTTTTGACGTTTATACAGAGAAGAGTAGTAAAATTTGTTTTCATCACGAACATCACACGTTCTTTTAATCACAATGACGCCACTATAGCCCCGATCAACTTCTCGACTTATCTGATTGAATTTATGGGGCTGGTCACTGTATGAGACGAGGTTACACAGCTGCTTGTAAAAGTTTCGCGGCCCTGTACAAAGAGGCGTTTTCTCATATTTGTAAGGTTTAGAGAGCAGGGGTTGGACTGTAACACCGATCGCAAGATTAGAGCATTCACAGAAGATGAGAGAGTTCAGACTGTGCAGTATGTGGAAGACAGCTTGCAATCGACATGGAATAGTGCACCGACTCGGGTGTAAAATTTGCGAATGAGTTTGAGTGTAACCGTCTCACTTATGTACATACACAGTGCAATCAATATCTAAGGTAGGAACAAAAAGCCAGCCATGACCTACAGGCTGGCCTGCCGCATTAATCCTATTAACCTGTTGTAAATATCTCGTCAGCGATCTTTGTATATGTGTAGACCTTCAAAATTTTCGACTAGCGTCAGTGTTTAGATCTTACACAGGGTGATTTCGAATGGTTTCAAGGTACTTGAAGTTACTGGGGACGGATATCACATTAGAATGTGCACTTTTGTTTGTATTGGTCACTTACCGTTTTGGTTATTTTGTTTATTTTCTCGATTCTGTTGCGCCGTGACCTCCGCTGTCTTTGTTTTCGGTATGAAGAACTGATGCAGAAATTGCCGTCAATTTAAGGAAAAAGCTTATTTGCATTTATATTTTCTTTTGCAGAGACAAGCTCCTTTTGTAGACGCCTTTTCGATGTTCATGCAAAGGCAAACAGGTTTTAGGCGCATTCAGATTTGCTCAAAAAGTCCCTATCAAGATCATTCCCAATTCGAGCAACTCGAAACATATCCACACTCTGAATATTATAGATTCATTCCTTCGCGATCGTCAAGCACACGACCATGAGGCGACTGCTATGATGAAGGCGCAGTTTATGTCATTATGGGATGGATTCGCCACCACCAACGACAAGGTCAGATCCAGCATAAACTCACCATGTTTCCACTAACGAAGTAAAACAGCCTTTAATACTGATTCCAAAAGCCCGGTGTTTGGTAGTCTGCTTGAGATAACAAAGGTCAAAGCATGATTCATTTGTTTCGGGATGCGCCACGCATTCTATTTTATTTAAAGTTGTCATGACATTTAAATGCTTTTCGTCCCAGCAGTTGTTTGTGGGACCAGAGATTCAGTCCATTTTTTTGTCACTCGTACTGGATTGGTAGCATTCGATTGATATAGATGGAGGGAAGGTGTAGACGGCCATCTTTTTCACTGACTTGTTGCCAAGGATTGACCCGATCTATGTCGTGCTCTCAAAAGTCTGGCGATGCGGAAAAAAGGCAGTAAGGTTGATTTTGAAGTTGTTGAAGAAGTCGAGTCTTTTTGTCGAAAGGGGAACGCTGACAAACAAAATCAGATAGAAATCGGGAGGGCGTTGGTTAGCGTTGCGGTGGATCTGGAAGGACTTTGTCAACTTCGCTTCAAAATCTCGCCACGTGTAATCGCGATTGTCATACAACAAACATACTTTTCTAAGTTGTGTGGATGGTTGTAGTATTGGATTGTCCTATAATTAGTGACTCACTTTACATTTATTGCTGAAAAATTCTTGAAAAAAGTGAAGTTGTGGAACATGTTCCGCGAGGTAGCACCTACAGGGGGGCCAAAAAACCACTTCACCCATGGCGCACATCATCAAATTTTTCTTCGCACAGGATGCCGTTGTTGATGAATGTTTTACGGCAGAATATTCCTTAGGTGTCCCCCCATAAGCAGAAGCAGGCCCTCCTTCACTGCCCCCACCGTCTTCAGAATATGACGTCATCTGCCGTCACCGTCGAGCTCAACGAGGCTTACCGTAATCGCTCCGGCCTGAAGCTGCAACATAATAATTTCTTCAATCGGTTAACTGGTGAATAGCTTCCCAGAGACACTAGCTGTGACTGTGCAAGACCGCTTTTGACCAGGCGTTTCAGGGACGTCGTAATGGTCTATGGTACCTCGACGACGTCGTTGAGCTCGTACCGTGAACCATGTTTCCGTGGGAAAATCTTCTGATGTCGTTGGATTAGAAGGTTGCTATGTAACTTAAAACTTGCTATGTATTAGAATGTGTTGGGCTCATTTGGTTTGGTTTCGCAGTGTGCGATCAGTTCCGCTTTTAAGGTGAAGGGAAGTGATTTTTTGCCCCCCCCCCTGTATAATGGCCTACCTGTGCGATTCTTCAGCTTAGGTCCTTTTTATAGTGAAATTGAAAGCGAAGTAAGGCAGTGTGCCGAACCTGGCTTGCAGAGTAGATTTATAAGAATGAATACTTTCTGGTTGACAAATTTTCCATTATGCCCTTTAGCGCTAGCCGCTTGGCAGTGAACAATAACCTACCCTGCACTTTAGCCCTCTTTCTCGGAAAGGAACTTTCCTCCAAAAGTCGGATCTCATTGCTGTCATTTGATATTTCTTCAATCAGAAAATTACGGAATTCCACATAAGGAAACTACGAGCCCCCTATGTCTTTAGACAGTGTTTTGTAGATAATGGCGGTCTACGTTAGGATGAGCAAACTCTCGAGGGAAATAATAAGAATCTCGGTAAAGAAAAAGCCATCCATTCCATACAATTTACGCTGATCCTTGCCTTTACTGCCTGGTTTACGCTACCATCGGTGCATAGATCGCTCATAAGGTATCGAAAGTCCTTCACTCCTTTCAATGGTTTCTCCATGGCCGTTCGACTCTTCACTCTTCAGAACTTAGGAACTTGGTCTTCTTGATAATCAGTCGGAGACCACCTTCTATCTTCTGCCATTTCTGCACTTAAGTTGAAGTTCTGCTATTTGCTATCAGGGTAATGTGTCAGCGTGGAGGATGGTCCCTCCATGAGTCCTTTCAGCGACACTTAAGAGGAACGGGCTCAGAGCTGGTCCTTGTGCATGACGATGACGACCGTGACGTTTGCCTCCATTGCTTCAGGACCATCGTACATATCCTTCACTAGCTAGATCTTGTGTTGGCACGTTGCGTTCCCTGAGCGCTCTCCACAAGCGTTCTGGCACGTTCCGTTTCCTAAGCGCTCCCCAAGTACCGCTCGTGGTAGCCGGTCGAACGCCTTCTCCAGGTCGAGGAAGGCTAGGTAGCAGGTCAACTTTCTTCTCGATACTTCTCCATCACTTACCTTGCCAGAAAATGGCATCCACTGGGAGATCGAATCCCAGGTCCCGCAGCTTCAATTCGGCCAGTCGTCAGTATCACGCAATGAGCAGTCAACTTTATCTCGCGGTAGTTGGAGTAGACCATGGCGTCACCCTTTTGTTTGAAGATGGGGATCATAATAGTATTAGCGTGCCAGTCCACGCTCAGAAGAACGCCTGTCTTTCCATCAGGTGAGTTTCCCCTTCTTCGACCTTCGTCCTTATCCTGGATCCTCCTTGAAGACTTCCCTTTGCAAGCACAAGCTTGTCAGCATTTTTACTGTTTTCAGATAATAGTCATGGGAGCAACCAACCGTCCTCAAGATGTGGATCCTGCTATTCTCAGGCGTATGTCTGCCCGATTTGCTATTCCTATGCCCTCTGAAAACCAACGAGAACAGATACTTAAGGTAATTTATACTTTGTGGTGAGGATTCTTAGGCTTTGAAAGTATATGCATTTATTGGAAATGTCCTTCCTGTAGTCCATCGCCCTTTATTATTCTACAGATGGCTCATGGGGCAATTTCTTTCTTCATTTTTTTCTTATGGCATCCTTTTTTTGCTAGCGTAGTGGCTCAAGAGCAAATTTGTTTCAGTTGGGTCCTTGGCAATTCTCTTTTTTATTTAGGGGGAGGCCTTCAAGCATGAAATTTGGGGCATGGCACTGTTGCGACCTATAAATGGGCAGAAGCCACAAGTACGCTAAGGCACTGCGTTGACCGCTGCGGCCGCTGCTATTTTCACTCGTTCGCAACGCGCGCGTGTCTGCGCCTTCTCGTGATTTCGCAAGTTACCTCTCCACACTGCGCTGTATCTCCGTCATACCACGGTCGACCCACAAGAAAGGAAAGTCCTTAGTTTCAGTGTCATCTATGACGCCTATTCTTCCTAACTGACAGTTTTCTTTTAACATCTTTTACCTTGTTCTCATGCGTAATACCCCTCATATTTTGATGGGCTCTGCTTTGGGGCTGATCTGCGTGCTTTCTTCAAAGTAGTTATGAACGAGTCCAGTGGTTTTTGGTTGTGTAGTTTGCCAAGATGTTGCCAACTAAGGAATGATGGGTGGAGCGGTTGCACGAAGTCAAGGTGTCAATTTGAGCCGCTCCGACAGAGTGCATCCCTCGTCAGCTTAAACTAGCCCTTCAAACTAGGGGGTTCAGAGCTGAGAGTACGAAGTAATTGCGTAGTTGAGCTATTAGATGAGCATCAGCATCTCTGAGTAGTTGAGATCCTAAACGCACAGTAAATCAGTGGCCTTAGGTTTCTGACGGTTATTTTTTGAAAACAACTACGTAAGGTTGGTGGATTGATGGTTTTTGTTTTTCTATTTTTTGTCATTAGGTGATTTTACGCGAAGAAAGTCTTTCGGACAGTGTCGATCTCAAAAAGATCGCTGCCATGGCTCAGGGCTTGTCCGGTTCGGATCTCAAAGAGGTTAGTGCATTGTAATTGTACCCGGAACGAGACTGTGTTAAATGAATGGTCCTTTTCAGGTATGTCGTTTAGCGGTGCTTTCCAGAGCAAAAGCGACATTGGCTGACCAAGGAAGCTTACGGAATAGACAACCGATCCAACACGATGACATGGAATTTGCATTATTGAAGTACTCTAGAGCTTATCAGCAGATGACCGAGCATGGCTTGGACTAACAGCCTCAAGGGGACCATTGCCGAATGCCTTTCTTCTCTGTGTAATTCTATCACCTTTTCTGCATAGAATTGGCTTCTCTTACAGCTGTTCGTTCTCTAGCTCATTTTTTACCTCTATTCGCAATTATTTCGGAGAACTTACGTTAGCCAAGCTAGCTCTTTCGTTATGCACAGATCTTCCAACTCATCTTCTTAATTTATTTGGTTTGCCGCTCATGGGATGCTGCTTCAGGAGTGTAGCATAGAATATAGTGCTATATTTGTGTATATTAGTCTGCTTGTTGGTCTCGTCAGCATGAGATGACGATGATTCGAAATTTTCAGAATTCTTCGTCTATAAAAAATCTACAGACAATTGGTAGCATGTGAAAAAGCTGCGAAGCCTGTCCTCTATCGGTGTATTCAAGTAGTCTAAAATTGGTCGGGTTCTAAAGGGAACGTGATGTGGGGATCCCAAAATTTGCCTATCCGAATCGATCCAGTTTGCGTTCCTCTTTAAGTTCTTTGATTAAGTTTGTTACTTGATTCAGAGGTACAATTTAATTTTTGAGAGTAAATGGCAGCGCTTAGAGGGGTGCACCCGAAGAGAACTATCACACTCAGTTGATTTAAAGGCAATAAAGGCAAAGGTCGGGAGACTTATATACCAGACCAGATATGGAGTATTATGTCGTTTGAAACTGACCATGAGTGTAGAGATGCGAAACGACAGTGGAAGAAAAATGGAAAGAAACCTACAAGGCCGAAAAGAAAATAAACCCTTCCCCTCTAGCAGTGAAGGAGGCTGGCTTGGGAGAGAGGCACGTCCAAACGAGTTTTTCGGACATGCCGGCCATTGCTGGCTCTGTGCCGTCGGTTGATACGGCAATCAACCCAGCTGATTTCACACGTTAGCCAGCCACGCACCACTTCCGGAAGGTGGGCGGGCATAGCGCCGCCAGGCGGCGTAGCGAACAATGCATCACCTGGGGCTTTATTGCCGCGCCGTTTGAGATTCTGAGCGTGGCAACGCACCTTTAACACCTTGGAGCCCACGCAGCCCATATGTGGGCTGCAGTCCTCCGACCGCATAGGACCTTTCAGCTCGCATTTCGTAAACAATTATTAGGTTTTTCATTCATTTTCTTTTCCATTTTATCCGATAAGATTTCTTCTGCATTATACAGTGGGTTCTTCTTTGAATTTGCTAGATAAGATCCCTAAAATTTCACCGAAGTCCCGCGCGGCCGCGGAACGTAAAACACGCGGTCTCCAAAGTGTTAAGGGCCGTAACTTCGCATAGAGATGACGAAGCGAAGTTTAAAGGAATCTTGCGCGGAAAATTCTTGCACTCTTTCCTAACATGAATATGTCAGTTGTGATCACTGGAAATAGCACACAAAGTTTCACGCATGAAGATTCGGTTTCTGAAGAGAAACAAACGTACAAAAACTACACGTTATGGACCATCGAAGGACCAGGAGGCAGAGCCAGGCGAGGCATGGAAAGAAGACGGCGTTTGGCCGGCTACGTACCAGGCGACGCAATGAGAGAATCGGGTTAAAGCGCGCGATTTCGGAGAGTGGAGACAAATCGATCGATGGAATAGGATGGAGTAGAAGTGTAAGATGTGAATGCAACGAAGCAGAAGGCCAGAAAGAGCTTCTAGTGAATGCACTCCAAGAACCAAGTTTGAGCATCCCCGTCGCCAGCATTCGTGAAAGACGTCCGTGGGCAATTCGAACGCGTAGCAGCCTTTTCGAGTTTTCGAATTTCTAATCAAAACGAAAGCAATACTTCAGTTCTTTTCACTATTATCGTGGATAATGAGTCTCAAGCCAGTGATTTATGGCTGAAATAGAATCATGATTTTTCCGCGCAAGATTCCTTTAAGCGTATACTGCATTTACGTTCCAAGAGGAAGAAGCTGAAGATTCGATGTTTCGCCAGGGAAAAACTTGCAAACAAACTGTCGTTTCAGTGAAAATGTGGGCAAATTGAATTCAGTGATCCCAAAGCGAAAGAAGCGAAACGTTTGGTGGTAACACAAACGGTGTGGTATGAAAATTATCGTTTTCATGGGAATTCACAAGCGATTAAAAAACTATCTCTGGGAACTAATCAAGACGCGAGCATTAATTGGAGTCAAGGAAAATCATCAGTTGGCAAAAACCGCTGAAAGGTGATTTTCCGCTAGGATTGCGCTGGAGCTCCCCAGTCGCTGCGATTGTAAAAAAAAAGGCGATGTAAAGTGAACAAGGGTCTCAAACAACTAGCCTATTCTACGACTCATACGCAAAAAGAGTGCCACCTTCTGTCAAAATCGGTACGATGGAGAAGTTTTGCAATTTACTGTCTCCGAAGGTATCAAATTTTTGCTTTCCTGAAAAATTCTTAGAGAAAAACCTCATCACCGGACTTGGCTTTCAGCTTGGATCAAGCTGCAGTATTTAGGAACAAATAAGTGATTGCATAAGTAATACCTGTTTTGCTACGCTAGCATTTGTTCGAAGGTATTCTATGCGAATACCAATGGCAATCTACAATGTATACGCTACTCATGATCTACGATTGATGAGCTTTCCTACTAAAATATGTTGAAAGCTCGTCCCAAAAAAACTGCTGTCATGGTTTTCCTACCACCCAGACTTCGTCCACAAAACTTGATAATTTTCCGATCGAATGATTCTCCAAGCTCGGGAGTGAGTGGTAATGAGGGAGGGGAGGGGAGGGGGGGGGGGGCAATGTTCGACGATTAAGAATGATGGGGCTTGGTTTGCCATTCAAAGTCGGCTAACATTTGCGGCGTCATCATTGCGCTACTGGTCGAGAAAGGACGGGGGAAAAGTTGGTGCTGCGTCTACTGACATAACCTCCAGTCTTTTTGAATGGTGGGATGACCGACTCTGAGTCTCCCGGTTTATTTCTCTATAATTTCAATTGAATTTTCTTCTGTTATCTTCCGCAGAACGTGCTTAGCGAACCCAGTAAATCTTCCGAATAACAATGCGAGCCCCATGTCTCATGTTCTAGTTTTCGGAATGGAAGTTTTACAACCATTACTTGAAGTGGCTCACAAATATCGTGTTCTCCCATATAAGTCTCGACAATACTGATGCTTCCTTGGCGCTATTTCCTTTTGAACTCGTGGCAATATGCCAAAAATGCTCTCTTACCCACTCCATTCAAATGCTATGAAATTAAGAGGTTATGTGCATTTACAGCTCGAATTTTGCGAGAAAAAAAGAGAAATATTCGCAGTTTTCGAAGAGAAACAAAGTGCGAAGGTCACATTCTGGTTAAGGGTTGGTCGAGCGAAAACAAGGGTAAGCATGGAAAAAAAACTCCGCCTGGGCACCGTATCAGTCGAGTTATTGAAAGAATCGAGTTAACGCGTTCGAAGTCAAAGAATATAGGCAAAACGATCGATTGGATTGGATGCAGTAGAAAAGAGAAATTTGTTTATTGTTTTTTTTTGGCCCACATTTGTTACAGATGTACTGCGAAAATTTTCAGACCTTTCGGTATTCGATTAGTTGACCAAAACGAAAGCTTCTTGATTTTGTTCTTCTCGTAAATGATGATGTGTTCCAAGCCAGTGATTTGTGGGTGAGAAGAATCATGATTCTTACGCGGACGATTCCTTTAACTGCGCCACAAGCAGATTGGAGATAAGTGTGTCCCCTACCTATCCAGCTATATTTGTATACATCAAAAACGCTTGTTACTTGTGGAACAACTCAATACCATAGCTTCTATATTTTGTATATATCTCTATATTTTGCCTAACTAAAGGCCTAAAAACGAAGGAAATTGGCAGAAATTACTGCAACCTATGATGCATGGAAATACACGGTTCTGCTGATCTCCCTACTCCAGAACTGATGACAGGGTAAGAGCTGCTGTCACTGGTGATGATTTCAACCCTGTCAGCATGCTCTCCCTGTGACAGCGTAATCGCTACCAATTTATTCAGCTCCCAATTATATATAAGGTTGAGGAATAGTTAAGCGCGCTTTCATTTCATGAGTTTATAAACAAAGCCCAACAAAAACAACATAACCGCGCTTTCATTCCGCGCTTCATTGATTCTACGAGCAGATGCAGAAGCATTCGGTTTCGAGCTCCAAAAGCTCCATAGTGAAGTAAATACACAAGTGTTGTGCAACAAAATGTACAAGAGATTGAGCGCTTTCAGACTACATCATAACCTTTGAATAATCAGCAAAAAATCAAGAAATGAGCCTGAAAAAAACGGCGAATAATTATTGCTCAACCTAATAGCATGTAATTGGTAGATATGGGCACTATGGAAAAACGTTCTTCTCAGTCCACTTGTTTGCTTATATTAGGTCGGTCCATGATTTTTGAGACACCTTGGGTGTTCTGTGTTTGTTTTGTTTCTCTGATTTATTAACATAGTATACATCACCATTATTACCAACATATCACCAATGCGAGGGTAGGTATTCAGTGTCTCTCTTGTAGAATTTCATAGAGTTCTGATCGAAGAAAAATTGGATGTCGATTTTGACTCATGGTGATTCAAGTGAGATTTCTTCTCCAGAAGGTGATTGAGAGAGGAGAGCGGATAGTCGTTCGTTGGCACAAGGTTAGTGCTACAAGGCGGAGCTAAAAGAACTGACCGCCCGAGAGTCTCCAATTTTTTATGAATTTTCTTAGCAAGGTGGACTACCTCAGAAAAAATAGATTTTGTCTTACTTTGCTTTCAAGTTGAAGGCGTTGCCATCAAGCTGTCGACGATTATCTTCATCACTGACACTGGTATTAGTTGGTGCCGGTTCCAGCGCAAAGCCCCTCCCGTATTCCGCCAACGACTCAGGAAGTTAGAATTCAGAGGGAGTTGGGTTTTGCTGTCAGAACTCCCGAATCGTTTAGCTAAGCTACTGCGGCTTGTGGATTTGTTAGCACACTGCACCCAGTCCACATCACCGATGAGTATGATGGATGGTCATTCGAAGGAACTATGGGAAACCAATAGGAACATGATGATGTCAGAT